CTCGAGTCTTCCGTTACCAGTTTCATAACCGTTACGGGACAATTTCACGAATAAACGTCCTATCAAAGATGAAGGGTGAAATTTCTGTAGTGAAATGGGATTCATGTCGTGATCTTTAACATGCGAAACGTTAGATACATTTTCTTTATCTTTGTTATTTCATTTCTCCTAAATCGTTAAAAATTTCTGAAGTTTTGAGAACAAATCAAAAAGGAAAATTGAAATTGGCAAATAGAGAGTAAAGCTTATTTTAATAGCGTTATAAATGTACGCTATATTATTTTTATGACACAAATGACTCTTTTGCGAATACAAAATTATAAATAAATATATTTCTCTTTTTCACTTACATTAAAGAAATTAATGAAGAATACTAGAATTAAATGAAAAAAAATTGTAACTAATAAATTTACTAATCAGAATAATAAACTATACGTTGTATACTTTTATATGAAAACCACAAATATAAAATTAAAGTCTGATTGAGGTTTTCAATATACGAAATACATTATTATTATAAAATCAGAATCTTCTTCCAAATTCAAAATTGAAGCATTGAAAAATATTAAATTATTAACATCACATTTGTTTACAAAACGTATTGAAATTTGATTATGTCCTTATATCGTCTAAGGCAATTCATAATTTCATCAGTTATTGTAATTTTAATATGCAATACTAGTATGTACAAATAAACGTTTCTTAAGTGTTTAACTACATTTCTTCCGTTTGTTTTTTACAGATCATATCCACAAGTATAAATATTCCAATATTATTTTTACAATATTACAGAGATCATTTATGTGATAGTGAGGTTGGCACCATATATTCTTATCGTTACCTCCATTTGTATCGTCGCGTCTCGCTGTTATGAAAATCTTCTTGCTTCTGAACTTGAGAGAAATTCAAAAACACTTCCTTTTTTTTCAGATGCGTTCAGAATTCCTAGATCGACTATTTTTTTATTTACGAAACGAGTGTTGGCTCAAATGAATGACACAAAAGCAATACGCACCGAAGTCGTATTTCAGCCTGAAGGCTACAAGATAGAGATCCTCCTGATTCTAGAATATTTCGCGTACTATCTTTTGATCAGTATGTTTGGAAGATGCTTTTCAATCTCATGACCACGCAGCCAAGAAGTTTGTGTTTGCGTCAGTACTGGACCGAAGAACACAAACACTCCTTATGCGTCGAGAGGTAAAAAAACTAGTAATAAAAAATCTTTGTTACTCACCTTGTACTTCCCCAAGTGGTCGACTATGCAGGAAAGTACAGCCTCGCGGCCTAATGGAGTTGTGAGGTTTCCGATTGGCTCTCCGAACTCCGGGTCCTTTTCTGAGACAGCGCGCGTGGGAGGCCAAGGCTCCGATACTGCAACACAAGAAACATTTTTTGCAATTATTCCGTAACTGGCACTTGCCCAATATTATGTCATATAAATAGCTCATAAAATAAGCATTGTTTTGCAGTGATATAGCAGTTTATTTTCAAATCGATGAATAGAAATTAGTTGAAGTCTAATTGTATTTTATTAGAATTTGTAAAATTAATTAGCGTCCTTCAACAACAAAAATGATGCTGAAGGAAACAACACGAAATTATTTCCGAAAGAGCAGCACGTTTTCTTCTCAAAAATAACAACTAAAACCCCCTTGGATTATACCGCATACATATAGAAAAACAGTCTTCCTGAATACTGTAAAAACATTGTACAATGTACAGAACGAAAACACAGAACAACACTTCTTTACACACCAATAATTTAAAAAAAAGTTGATGTTCTATAATGTAACACTAGATACTTGTATCCCTGTTGTCTCATGACGTCAGATGTGTGTCGTATGAAGAGATACTGAATTTGAGAATTCATTCGGTAAGTGTAGTATGAGAATACGCGAAATAATACTATAAAATATTGCATTGTTCAATCAAAATATAAACTCATGGTTTCCGTTTTTTTAGTTCTGTGTATTCAACGAAACAATAGACACCTCCCACATGGTTGGAGGCAGCAGAGTCGTCTTTGAATTTCTGCGCGCATTAGACGTTAATAATATAGATTACGAAAAAATATAAAACTGATACGGTGAAACACAAAAATATTATCTAAATGAAAAATAAGACATTTAATAACACAAAAATTCATTATTTTTAAGCTATCACGAGTAGTCAGAGATTGTTTCAGTGAATTACGTGTTAATACTTAAACGTAAAATGTCTTTAGTGAGAAGATTCGATTTTTTTTCGTGCAAAGCAGAATGCGATATTTTTACTGGTTCTTGTGTTCTTTCTAAAGATGTAAACATAAACTTCAAACTCTACTAAACGTCGAGATTCAATTAAAAGTTTTCATCATGAAGTTACTGCTAACTAGTTTGGGATTAAAGCTCGGAAGAGTCAAAAAGGTTCGCAATCATTGAATTATTGATTTAATATAGAACTAAAATTATGTATGAAAAAAGATAATGAATATCAAATTCCAAGTTTCATTTCACATCATTTTCGGTTTCAGGTGTGAAACTAAACTTTTCTTCGGAATAACTTATTTGAAATAATAATAAATGAGAGGTTTGAATTCTTCCCAAACTCATTTCACGGTTAATATATTTTTCTGACACAATATCTTCCACTGCAGACTCAACGCACAATAACTCAAATTGGAGTGTACATTTCTTATCACTGAGAAGTTACAAATATACATCAGTTTCGTTGCCTTGTGGAAAGACCATTAACACTAGGAGCACGACACCCGTGATTTTGACGGGTGGCTTACAATTTATCTAGAATTTTCAACAATATATGTGATTTCTAAAATTCGGACTTTGTTGCTTTCAATACTTAATCATAATCCATATATGTAAGGAAAAATAGACGTGTACACTGAAAAATAATTACGATATTTTCAAATACTACTACATGGAGGAAGACACCTTCCTGGACCTATGCTAACACTTCACACTTTGTAAATCATTGAATAGCTTCAAGTTGGATCCCAACTTCAGACCGGAACCTGAAACGTTCAACGAAGCACTGTAGCCTCCGCCGAACTATTTCCACTACAGGTCATAACTTTTTGAGGCATATTTGACGGGTTCTAGCTTCTAAACCATTAAGAATAGAAGCAAGATTCTTTTTTATATTTTAAAGCAACAATCTTAAAATTTTATATGACGTTCCAACTTTTATGTTTACATTTATAGTGTAAAATATTTTTAATATGAATATCAAAAGAAATGGAGTCCAAAACGTTTAACGCGTTCATTTCCATCAAATTATTAAAACGTCAGTTAATATTAGAGCATTATACATAACATTACGTTAATGTCTATTGCGGTAATGAAGAAATCATTCCTTTTTGTTAACAATAATTGGCATTGGTGCGGTAATTTTGAACAGCGCTCTTTAGCCGTCGCTGTAGAAGGTACGCACACTAGTTTATCTTGAATCTATTTATTACCAATTAAATGGCAGCGAAGGAAATTTAGCTGTGTATTTAGGTACTTTATTGATGTACAAACCTCCATGAATAGTTAGTGATCCAAAAAATGACTTGATATAAGCAAATATACAGTATCAATCGCGTGTAAACGTTTTTGGCGGCCGTCGTTAATTAAGACGAATGGTTTACGCCCCTAAATTCTACGGGCAGACACCTAAATGTGTTAATCGTCTCGTACTTTCACTACTCTGCGCAGTATTGTGTACGTTGTTTCAGCATTTCCGATAGCTTCTCGGGGTCTTCGTCGATCCTTCATTTCAAATATTATATTCAAACAACGAAAGCACTACATCGCTGCATTCCAGCCACCTCAGCGAAACCACAAGCTCCTTCTGCCACAGTCACAGTTCATTTTATTTTCATGATTTTGTTCTCAGCTTTTCTTTCGCGGAGCTGATAAAATCCTACAACTGCACCGGAACTTCGTCAGGGCGTTTTAAAAACGCCATCAAGCCCCGTCAGCTTGGAGTCGCGCCAGCGTCTGTATTCGGCCGTTATCGGTCTGCTACCCCCTCCCCTCCCCTTCCCACTCCCCTCCTCGTCCCCCTTCCGCGTGACGGACGCTGCAATATTCGCGCCCCTCCGTCGGTCCGTCCGTCCGTCCTTCCGTCCGCTACATTAAAAGGAGCAGCGCGCGCTGATAACGGGGTCAAAGCCAGGTCAAGGACCCCGCCCCCTCTCCCGCCCCCGCGGGGCGACCGCTGCTGCAGGTTACGGGAACGCCCGATAAACGGTAACGCGCGCCTTGCGTGCGTGCGGCCATGCGTGACCGGCGCGCGGTATTGCCGCGACAAAGCGACGGAGCAGTTCGAGTACAATCCGCAGCACTGCGGCGCCGCGCTCTCGTTACGACGGAGACACCGAGCGCCGCTGCACGGAAAACGCGAATAGCAGGAGTGGTGTTTGTACTCTTCGTTTGCCGCGCGAGGAAGAATTTGTCCTTTTGGGGATTGTCGTGTTCGCCCACTCAAACGTTTTGGATTGCATGGGCACAACAGTTTGAGAGCTAAAGGAGTGTATTAAAAAAAGGGAAAGATTTTTATAGAGATTATGTTAATCTCTGAACTAATTTAGAAGTTTGATCTTTGCTTGAACACATTAAATGAAATGACTTTTGTAATACGCGCCTTTAAATCTATGGCAAAGAATTAATAATAATCATATATCGTATTCAATGTAC